AAATAGTGCAACAATGAATGAATGGAAATCCAAAATCTCTGTAAATGCTCATTAAAATTAATAAAATTTAATAATAAAAAAAGATCTCTGTTTGCATGACAATCTTATGTTTCATTTTGTTTTGTAACATGAATACCTTGGAATCATTTAATCTTCAAATACATTAAACACAAGTAAGCCGGTTAAAACTGTTTTATTGAATTCATTATCTATAACTGTTATGTTCCAGAATCCCACTTTTGTTTAAAACACAAGTTTATTTAAAAGCGAAGGAACTTGTTTTCATAGAAAAATTAAAGTCTGTTAAAAATATTGCAAAGCAAACCACACCATTTTTAGGCAGTTAACTGCATTCTTATAAAAAAATAGGGAACAACATCTGTATATAAAAAATACAGGATCATTCAATGCAGAGAAAAAAATAAAGTTAGAAACACTTACCTGCACATTAAAATAGTATCATTTTTACCTTACATATTGAAGAAAGAACATTAAGTGCTAAAAAGAGATTACAATAAAATTAGATTTTTAAACAGAAAATCATGCTTTAAAAAGAATAAGTCTAAAAATTTACATTTCAAGGACTTAATAATAAAAGGGAAATGTAGAATCAAGTTAGAGTTTTAGGTGTATATTTAGATGAAGAACTTGGACGTTAGTTGAAGATCTTCTATTACAGCGTGCAGAGAGGTACGAAAAGGAATGAAACATTCCTCGAGAATAATCTCTGTTCTCTTCAACCCGTTCAGACCTATCCTGTGAATGACTTCTGACTCACACCATCAGCTCTTTCCTCTTTGTTTCCAACTCCAAATAAGGTGAGGCATGAAGAAGGGCTGGCTAGTAGATCACAGAAATTAAAAGGCAATTAACCACTGGCCTCTGAAAAGCAAGAAAGTCTGGCAAGGCAGAGTCTAGAAAAAAATTGTAACATAAACAATACTGCCTTTGCTACCTACACTCAGGTCCTTCTTCAAGCTGCTCCTCAGCCCTTGAAGGCCAGGTGCCTGTATTTCTCTCTGTCTGTCCAAATAACTCCCATGGGCTGACCCTCTCCAAAGTAGCCTGTTTTCCAAAATTAACTCTCCACATTTTTCATTGACATAACTCAAAATCCCTACTTCTGTAATTTTTAATAGTCTCTTAATAAACTGATAAACATTTTTGCACACAGAAGACTGCTTGACAATGGGGGCCTGGAGTAGTTGCAATTTAAATACATCTCCTGGCAGTGTTCCGGACAATGATGGGAGGGAGATTAAGGGAGCCTAGTGGGAGTGCTGGCTCTCACCATACCAACCTCCCTTTATAAGAGGGCAAAAAGTTGGGAAATGAAGTGTTTGCAGGCAATCTCTGTGCAATTTAACTGCCTCCGAAAACCTACTGGAGGGTCAACTATGGGTCAGTTCCGACTCGATGTTACACAACAAGAAACAACGCCAAGCCTCTGACTAGAAAGAACACTACGCAAGTGGTGATGGATAGGTACGTAGGCATGAGCCTATTCAAACCCGTCAGCAAGGTTCTCTAAGATATAACTGAGAGGATGTGTCCATGTGGTTGTAAATTAAAAGTGAGAAAGAAAAATGAGGAAAGTGGGTTTATTTTCAGTAAAAATAAGGTTTTAAAAATGTTTTGGTTTTAGCTTCCAAGAAAAACACCTCATCTCTGGAGGCTTGCCACCAAAAAAGCAGGGCGAACTAGCTACAACAAGCTCGATTTGTTCTTAATTTGAGGATGCAGCAAGCTGTAGGCGCCCTGCAAAGCAAATGTACTGCTTTCTGTGCGTCCCTCTTTTCTTTCCACCAAAGCCATTAGAAGTCTCACGTAAATCACTGCTGTCCACTTGATGCTAACTAACACTTGGTGGCCCTGAAGTACAGAGAACTGCCATGTAGGGGTTTCTGAGGCTATAATCTGGATGGAAGCACATAGCCACATGCATCTCCTGTAGAGCAGCTGGTGGATTCAAACAGCTAAACTTTCACATAACAGCAGAGCACTTAACCACTGTGACCCCAGAATTCCTAAAGTTTCACACAGCTGTGTACAATTTTAACCAAATTACACACATCACATGCATCAATTATTTCCTGGTTTCATGCAGTAACTAAGATTAAGAAGCTCCCTCTCACTTTTAAATTCTAGATTCCTATTGGACAAACAAGATGGTGGTTTCATTTTAAAGTCTTTCATTTCTTCGTTTTCATTTCCTTTAAATATTGCTTTATAATTGTTTTGGTAGAATCAACAAGACTCTCTAATTTGGTAGTATTGTTAAATGAATTGCTAAAAAAAATTGCTGTAGGTCATCATGGTATATTCTGCTTCAAAGTCAAAAGAATAGTTTGCATATAGAGAGAAGCAAGTTGTGGTGGGAGTGAGAATTGCTCTTAACTTTTCATAACTGAAGAAGAACATTAATTTATTCTTGATTTGGGTAATAAGGGGAGATGTGTTAGAGACATTGTTTTTCTCTCCCCAAGCTTTTTTCAAATAACTATATCTAATATTATTTGCTTATTTATGAACTATCACTATATATTCCTATATATATCACTACTTAGTCATATATATACATACATATGTAGTTGTTATTATTATGTGCCATCTATATATTAGTATATAATAATGCCATAGCAGATATTCATAATTTTAACTGTTAAGATTCATTTAGGGGGTTATCTTGTGAGACCTTTTTTTAAAGTCTATATCATATCAACAAATCTGAAATTTAAGCAACATTTTGGAAAGTATTAAATTGTACCTGAGTGTCAAATTTCTCTCGTCTTCTTTACATTTACAGATTTTATAGTACTTGCCTTCTTTAGTTAGGAATAATATAACTTAAAGAAGCTTTGGTGACTTAGTGGTAAGGAGTTGTGCTGCCAACCCAAAGAAACTCAGTTCAAATCCACCAGTTGCTCTGCGGAATATGGATGGACAATCTTTTCCCTCAAAATTTACTCTCTGAAAACCCACTGGAAGGTCAGCTCAGAGTCAGTTCCAACTCAATGGCACACAACAATATATCTTAAGGGGGTTTTGGTGGCATAGGCCACAGCAAGTTGCACTCCTACCACAAAGGTAATGTCTCTCTCTGTGGTTCAAATCCACCAGCTTCTCTGTGAGAGAAAGAAGAACAATCTCCTCCAGTGCAGTTTATGGCGCCTGAGAACCTGCTGGAGGGTCAGCTATGAGTTGGTTTTAATTCAACAACAATGAGCTTGAGTAGTTTTTTTTAAACACATCTTATTTGAAAATGTCACAAGTGGAGATGCATGCTCATCCCTTGCTGGTCCTCATAACTATGAGAATGACTGCAGTCAGTTTCTGCAGACTCTATTGTAGGAATCAGAATCAGAATCTCTCTAAAGATAGTATATGCTAACTGCAGATGACTACGGCTGAGAGAAAATACAGAGCCATATGTGCTGAACTTGCAAATGAAAATATGAGATCACAACATTCAGAGAAAAATTATTTTCCCCTCAAAATAATACGCATTACGACAACTTACCAACACTAGCTCTTAGTCTCAGAAAAAGAAAATTTTGAAGACTTGCAGTTCCAACCTCAACAGTAGAGCTTTCGTTTTTGCTGTTTTTCACTAAATTGTTGACAACAATCATACATGTTGAATAAATTTTGTTTTGTTTCTTGAGAATAAGAATACTTCTATTCCTCATCATAGTCCTTTTATAAACCATAAATTGCACATTCAAACATATAAAAACCATTTTCCCTACATTTTCCTGATGTAGCTTGAGTATGTGGCTATTTCACAAACTGAAAATTTGTCATAGTAAATTTGCCAAGATAGCCAAACAGATAAGATCATTTCGTCTATCAAAATGGACCAAAGTAACCACATAGATAAGACCATTCTTCTTAATATAATTACTAGATATAGACAGAAAGAAGGCACAATTCTAGTTAAGAGCCACAGACCGGGTACTACATATTTTTCAGAGCTTAAAAAATATATATAACATCATTGTTCAATACGCCCCTTTTCCATTTATATCCAACATCTGGAACAACACTACAACTTCTAGCTAGGTAGATATTTTATTATACAGGTATACTTTGTATTATTGTGTTTCACAGATACTGTGTTTTTCACAAACTGAAGGTTTGTAGTAATTCTGCACTTGAGCAAGTTTATCATTTCTATTTTTCCAGTATGAACAGAATGTAATGAGTTTGTGTTTCTGTGTCAAACTTTTTCATATTATTATTACATATACACTACATTACAGTAAACTCTAAGTACAACCTTTGTATGCACAGGAAACCCCAAAATTCATTTGACCCATTTTATTGCAATAGTGGCTTTACTGTAATGGTCTGTGACCAAACTTGCAATATCTCTAAGTTAAGCCTGTAGCCAACCAGACATACTTCAACTATTACCAGATTACTAACACATTTATTAAGAAACTATCTGTAAAGAAGAGCAGGGTTGTGTTTTTTGGTTTTTTTTCACAGACTTGATTTCAAATGATAAAAATCTTTAAAATTCCTTCAATGTCTATTTGCTCAGCAGTCAAGAAGGCAAATATCTCTCGTAACATTTTGCCTATTTTGAAAAAGGTAGGCAACAAATACCTTTAAAAACATAATTTGGGAAAAAAAGATATTTTAGTGCATGTTAAAATGTTTGGTATTTTTTATACATAGGAAGGTATACTATATATTAAAAAAATTGACAAACTGAGTAACTACCTAACTGCTCCAAGTCACATAAAAATTTGATTTACAAATTTAAGAAGAGGATTTGTTAATAATCTAGGGACTTCCTGTACAAATAAATGAGAGGAAAAAAAATCTAAAAAAGAAAACAATTTGGAAAAGAGAGCAATTTGGAAAATACATCCTATTCTATCCAGCATAAATACGCTTTTGTGTCTGTGTGTATAAACTGCATTTTGAAATAACCCCCTTTGAAAGTCGCTAAAACTTCAAAGAAATATATGCATAATTATAGCGCAGTGACACTATCTTTTTACACATGCTTCTGCTAATGCAGAGAATTTGGGCTCCAAATTGTTCAGAAAGTCAAGTCCATCTTCCTCCTGCTTTTCGCTGCAACAGCCTACTGACCCCGCCGGAGAGCCTCTTCCTTCATAGTTATACGTAAGGACGTAATCTTGAGCTCGCACATGGTCTTCATTCTGATTATACATATTTAATTTCTGTAACACAGAAATAAAAAGTGACTGTATTACTGTTTTAAACACACAAGAACATTTGAACAGAAAAGTTCTTTTTTATTTACCTTTTAATGTTTAATTTTAATCAGTGAGTCCTCTAATGGTTTCCTACGTACAAAAAATGCACATGATTGGTCTATATCACAACCATACCAAGAAGTTAGTATATTTCACATTTCTAGCAATACAGACAGATAAAAATTATGCATAGACAGTTTAAACATTTTTCAATGATGACATGTGTTTATCTTGTAATTGTGTAGCCGGACAGTCTAAAAAAATGGAGGCAATTTGTATTGTGGTTAAAAATTTGAACTTGAACATCAGCAGTCATGGTTTTGGGTCACAGCTCTGGAATTATCAATAAACTATATAATTGGGGGCAAGTTACTAACCATCTTTAAATCTTGCTTTCTTAACCTCTAAAATGGGAATATAAATAGTGACCATTTTACAGTTTATTCTAGAAAAAAAAGATATGCCTTTGTTATCACCAACATATGATAAATGTACAATGAATATGAACCAGTAACACTATCACATTTCTTTGAAGATATGGAGATGCACACATGCACGCACACAGAAAACACACACACACACACACACACACACACACACACGTGAAACTTTTTAAAAATTACCTTATAAAAACCAGGATTTATAATAGAGAAGCTAAAGATCTTCCTTCATGTTATCTACCATTGGCTTCTCTCTCAACTCTTTCTTTTTCTCACCTCTGTTAACCCTTTCTCTACATGCGAGCTTGCTGGTTGGCCTTACATTATCAAACATAGTAATTTAAAATCCTTGATGGCCTCATTCATATCTCATTTCATGATGTATCTCAAGAGAATGCATATGAATGTTTCTTAAGTTTATATCTTCTCAACCTGAAAAGTACATGAATGCTTTTTGGAATTAGGAAAGATATTATAATTTGACTTGATAAAAATCTATGCTAGGGATAGATGATAACTGCAGTCTTATCACAGAATTGTTGTCATGTGCCATCGAGTCGCCTGCGGCTCAGAGAGACCCTGTGTACAACAGCCCTAAACCCTGCTCTGTCCTGTGCCAATCTCAGTCTCTGACACACCCATCACGATTACCCCAGTCACCAAATCAATCCACCTCATAGAGGGTCTTTCTCTCCTGTGCTGTCCCTCCAACCTCCCAAGCATGACATCCTTCTCCAAGGACTGGTCCCTCCTTGCTACATATTCAAAGTATGTCAGATGAAACTTTAAAATCCTTGCCTCCAAGGAGCAGTCTGGTTTAACCCTCTCCAGGATAAACCTGTTCATTTTCTTAGCAGTCCATGATTTATTTAATAATATTCTCCAACATCACAGCTCAAAGGCATCAATTCTTCTATCCTTCCTAGTCATTGTGCAGCTTTCTGGTGCATAGAAAGTGATTATAAAGACTATGGCCTGTATCAGGCACACCTTAATCTCCAGAGTGACATCATTGCTCTTCAGTACTTTGGAGATGTCACTAACAGCAGAATTTCCTTCACAATACATCTTTTAATTTCCTGGCTGCTGGTGCCAAGAGTGTTGACTGTGGAGCCAAAGCAAACGAAATATTTCTCCTTTATACTTATCATTCAAGGGTGTAACTGATCAATACACTTAACTGCTAACCAAAGGAAGGGAGGTTCAAATCAACCCAGAAAGACCTTGGAAAAGAAGCACTTCTGAAAAATAAGCCACTGAAAATCACATGAGCACAGTTTCACTCTATCATAGATAGGCCACGAGAAGTCAGAACTGAGACTAGTACAACTGATAAACTGCTTGGCTGTCCGAGGATTAAGGACTTCTGGTCTAGTTTATGCTACAATGGTGGTTGTTGCTGTTAAGTGTCGTCGAGTCGTAGGTAACTCATAACGACCCTATGAACGAAAGTCCTCGACACCTGTGTGACTTTCGTCCTTTCTCCAGTTTCATAGGGTTGCCAGAGGCAAGATACTTACAATGGTAAAGAGGTGAAAATCTTATTCTTACAGTAGAGAATTTAATCCAGCAACTGACTATTCTTACTGAACAATAAAATCACTTGAAAATTTTTCTTTAAAAAGCAGACCAACTGAACCAGAAAAATTTAGGGTTTAGTATGGTTATTAACACCAATGAGGATAGAGATCTCAAAGACAGTGAGACTGGCTCAAGATAGGGCAGGGTTCAGAGTTATCATGCATAGGGTCGCTGTGTATCACAAATGACGGCATATAACAACAACAATGGGTATTAATATTCTTTTAAATTTTCTCAGGGGATTTGGCTGTGTTTTCAGTCTTGAAAATTCTTATTTACTTCAGTCTTTGTTTAGTAGTATAAACGCACTTTATATTTTCATTGTGTTACACTGAAACAATTCATGTAGATCACATTACTTAATCTTCTTAGAACTATTTGTAGATGCTTGCGTTTTCACATTAACATGGAGATTCTATTTGGGTTGTTTTAAGATAATGAGGAACTAGAATAATTTTTTCATATTCTTCTATGTTAAAGTTAATGAAAAAGCACACATTTTTCATGGAAAAAGTAAAATGTAGTTTTAGTGAGGGATATCCGAAATGTTCCATTTTTATGGAGTTTTAGACATTAAGAACTACCTCTAAGGGAATAAAATGTTTTAAATTAAATAATTTAACACAGTTAAAGAGTAAAGGTGAAATGACAGTGAGAGACAAGGAAAGATGAGAGTAAGAAAGAGAGAGAAAGACTACATCAAAGCAATATCTAAAAATATCTGTAAATTTTCATTTCCTCTTGAACCTTTAAACTCTGAAGTTAAAAATCACACAGGGGAAACTCACTTCACCAAGACGTGGCTGAGTGAAATTATGCCACTCGGAGTACGTGTATCTGCCGTTGTCCATCTCTGCATGTCCTCCTCGGCAGGAATCCAGGGTGTGGTGTCCCCCTCCTTTACACACGTCCAGGGTGTGGTGATGCCCTGCTCCCCGGCAGGATTCCAACGTCTGGTGTCCTTTCACCATCTCAATGGTTTCTTGTCCACCATTTTTGACTCCTGATCCCATGGTGCCACAAAAGCCTTGGCTGGAGTTGTTCATACTCTGAGTCACAAACCCATTGGCAGAACACTGCAAGAAAACAAGACCACATGTGTTGGCAGAAAACAGATTCCAGGTAAAATCACGAGAAGGCAAGAGAGAATTTATTCTTTTTCATTCATTTATTTATTCAATAGACATTTACCACTTTACAATTCTGTGCCCAGTGTTGTTGATGTTGTTATGTACCATTGAGTTGGTACCAGCTCATAGCTGTCTCTACAATGGGTTTTTAGAGGCAGTTAATTGAGGGGGATGTGATTGCTCAACTATGTCCCATGGAGCAGCAGGCAGATTTGAACTGTATGCCTTTGGGTTGTCAACACAACTCCTTACCACCAGAAATCCCCATATCTATGCTAGGGATGTAAAAAGATATTAATTCATGGCTTCTTGATAGCTTCGTAAAGCTCATATGACAGAAAAAGACAATCACAAAAAATATGTGATTGTTCTAATATGTAGGTAAGCCTATAGATGTTATAGAGGCACAAGGAAGATAATTGAAATTGAAACTCTAGGAGACTAAGCGGGGTAAACATGAAAATCTCTAAACTGGAGAATTAAAGACCAAGAGATGGGCAGAGAAAAGTACTATTTACACAAGGATCTGAAAAGCCAAGGTAAATGTGATGTGTACTTCAGCAAGTTGAACACTCTAGTGGCTTAGTGGGTAAGGAAGTGTGCTGTGAATACTCAAAGACAGGTGATTTGAACCCACCAGCTGCTTCCTAGGAGACAGAAGAGCAATCTCCTCCCTGTGATCTGTAGCCTCTGAAAAGCTGCTGGAGAGTAAGCCATGAGTCTGTTCCAATTCAACGACAATAAGAGAATTCAAAAAGAAAACAGATAGAAGGGGAGATAGATGATGCTGGAGAACTTATAAGAGGCCAGAAGACCCAAAGAGGTCATGGTGAAAAAATTTAGACTTAATCATGGAGTTATTTCCCAGTAGTTACTATAGCATAGGTGGTAGCTGAAGCCATAAAGAGATCACTCAGGGAAATTTGTAGACCAAGGGGGTGGGGAGTGGGGGAAGGCCAATGATGAAATCACAATATCACATAGAAAAAAATAAACAAATTCTGGCAGGATTAAAACAGTATTTGAGATAATAAAAGTACCAAGGCTCTGAAGTCATGTATAGAGTAACAAAACAAAACAAGCCAACATACTGTAGTTGAGAAGATTTTGACTCATAGCAGAGAGTTATGAGAAGAAAGCTAATGATAATTAAAAAACTACTTAAGCATAGCACAGATACTGTGCTCAAATAAAGTAAGAATCCACTCATTTCAAGGTTAAATAAATGGCCGATGATGGTTTCTGTCAAGCTAATTTTTAAGGAGTACTGAGTGAATAAATATAAACACATAGAAAATTAAAATGTAAATTTGGCTTCCAAGAAGATGAAAGAAATATAAAGAGAAGAAGAAGGAGAAAAATAAAAGAAAATTTTGAAATGGAAATGATTTTATTAAACACTAATTTAATCCCAGAACTTCACACCAGTCTTCCGGGCTATAGGTCAAAATTCTAGTCAAAACAGTAATCATGATGTCTGTCAGTTTTAATGCTAAATCATTACTTTTGTGACAAAAACCACCCCTATAATCATACGTTTAATCGCTTTAGTATTATTCTAATATACAGACTTTTCTAACTGAATTGGAAAATATTTTGCGTTCAGATGTATTTTCAATTCTGAAATATCTACAAAAGTCAAGCATACAATCTCATCACCTTAGAAAGAGACCAGGAAAAAAGAGAAATGGAAAATAGCCATTTGGTGGCAGTGCTGCCCCATGTTGTTTTAGGTTGCTGCAACAATAAAATTCTATGTCAAAAAAATAAAACGTTTCCTTACATTCCTTAGCATTACAATACAGACGTGATTATGTGCTCACTGATCGATGTTGCTAAGCTAATGAAAGGGTATGTGAAGGTAAGCTGAAGTGAAATCTCAGCCCACCGTGCTCTGTCTCCCACACAGGGAGCACATCCTCTGATCCTCCCTGCCTGCTCCAGCCGCACTCCCAAAGCTGATTCTCAGTAATATCTCTAACTAGTCTGTTGGGGGTTGTGCTGGTGATCCAAAGGCTGTACTTGTCTGAATGTTTGAATACAGCAAATGGTCAAATTCCTCCCATGGGATTTACAGCCTCAGACATCCAATGAAGGGTCAGCAGTGAGTGAGTTCCTACTTGAGGGCAATAAAAGAGAGAGAGAATGAGACTCCTTATCCATGTGAATGATTCCCAGATTTACTTTTCCAGACCTTATTTTTCACCCATTTCCTAAACTCCATCGAAATGCTGCATAACTTAACCCCAGGTCCAAAATGAACACCACCAATTTTACTCATTATAATAAAAGAGTTTGTAACTAATGTATGGATTTTGTTATGCATTTTAAAACAAATATGCCCAAAAATATGGTCTGATATAAACTAATAAGTCCACATCCTCTAAAGAAGTATTCTTAGCAAAGAAAAGCTAAATATATGTGAGTGTAATAAGGTGAAAGAGTGGATCAATGCCATCAGCTCTCAAATCAAACAGTAAAGAGCAAATAACAAGTAAAATTCAATCACTCCATCTTCAGGTATGGAATAAGAAATTACTCTATTAGCTACAGACTATAACTAAAACAACATAAAAGTAACATCTAGAAATATTCATTATAGACAGCAGTCAAGATGTATAATTATTAAAAAAATTATTACAAAAAATGGTAACTTCAATTGAAAAGGATGCAGCACACCAATATAATGGAAAAAAGAAAAACTAAAATAATAAATATGGTTTAAGACAGTTAATAAATGTCACTATATAAATACTCAAATAGTGACAGACTTATGCCAATATTCTTATGCAAAACTATTCATGCCTACAAAACTTGATCCAATTAGAAATGGACATTAACTCTTAAATGTCACAATAACTTCCTGAGGATGAATTAAAGAAATTAATGAGGTTAATTACAGACCAAAAATAATTTTAAAATATACTTACCACTCGATCATCTCCAGGTGCTTCTGTGTTTGATATAATTAGGTTTTGCTGTGCTAAGTCTTCAGGGAAATGTTTTCCTTTTCCGGTACCAACAACTCCACATACTAATGTCAGCAATACACCTAAGTTCAATTTAAACAAAAATTAACATATTTAAGACAAAATAATCATCTTTCATTTTATATGAGTTAGAAGTTACAGAAGGAAAAGAATCTATTAATATATTTTTTCATTAATAACCCTGGCCTTTCTAAATTAGGATGTCATAATTTATCTTTTATACTAAAATTTTAAATAGTTCTATATACATTTGTGTGTTTGGGCCATCATGTTAAAGAATTTAGGCTTATGGGTTAGATAGCATGTAAAAAAAATTAAAACTAAAGCCAAACAAAACAAAAACTAGACAATTAAGACTTTAAAAAAACTGAGTTCAAAAAAGATGCCTTGCCTATATGAAAACATGGCCAGACATTTGCCTTCAAAATAAATCTGTCTGCAAGTATCTTAAACCTAGGTTGTATTCTGTCCATTTTAGAATTTTAACTCCATCTCAAGAATGTGGGAGAGTGAGACTATATAATAACAACAGTAGCAATAGCAATTCTTTACAATAGTCTACTAGTCTCTACACTAGTAATCAACAGTTGTCAGATCCAAATCCAGCCCATAATTTGTTTCTGCATATTCTATCAGCTAAGAATTGCTTTTACATTTAAGAAAGATTAGCAATAAATCAAAAGAAGAATACTTTATTCTGTATGAAATTTATACGTGATTCAAATTTCAGTATCCATAGTTTTATTGGAAAAAACTCACGACTCCTATATACATTATATTCTGAATCTGCTTTTTATTCCCTTATGGATAGATTCAATTATTTACAGTTGAGATTGCTTGCACTCTTAAGCTTAAAATGCACACAACCTTATGCTTTACCAAAAAAACCTGTGGGTGCTTGAATTTGTCTCCTCCCAGTCATCCTTTCTTATCTTTCTGGTTCAGTGTCCTACTCTGTCATCCACTCTTCTCTGGCCACCCAAAGGCAGTGACTAGTCCCACTAGTGGCTCCACGGGAAAAAGAAGGATAATCATCTACCATGAGATTTTGTAGCCACCAAAAAAAAACCCAGTAGAGGGTCATCTGTCAGTTGGTTCTGATTCAACCCAACAGCAATGAGTGTGAGTGTGGTCCCTCCCTGTCTTTCTGGCTCTGTGGCCCCAATCTCTGTGTCATCTACTCCTCTAATGGCCATTCTTGTCATTCCCTCATTCCTGGGTTTCTCTGGGCTTACTCCAACCTTCACGAATTTCCATATCATCCTTATACGGGGGCTGTGCTAATAACCACTGTCTTGTTCCAATTTTAGTATACGTGCAGCTGAAGCGAGCATGCAGGGCTTAACGATAAGCAGCTATGCTGCCAATCCAAAGGTATGTGATTGGACAACCTCCTGGGTGGTTTACTGCCTCTGAAAACCCACTGGAAGGTCAGCTATGGGTTGGTTCCAACTCAACAGTATACAACAACAACTCCAACCTCACTGCTTTGTCATGACTGGATCCTCCAATTGCAAGCTCAGGATCACATACATCTGACATTCTCAACTCTTCCAAAAATCAGCTTCTCAGATAGGCTTAACCTATGGAAAATCAAAAATTTCTATCACCCACCCCTGTCAACTATCCATTCTACAGCTCTGCTGATCTTATTTATTTTATTTCCCCCTCAATAATAATTTATCAGTTTACTTTCAGAAAGTCAGTGTTGTTTTCTTTGGTCTGTTTTGTTCACTGATGAATTACAACTATCTAGAACACTGTATGGCACCAAAGACACTCACTATGCATTTATTTTGTTGAGCTGATGCATAATAATAAACATTTACTGGAATTCTAGCATAAACTATGCGAAGCCCTTCTTGGTATGCACTAACTCATTTAATCTTCCGTGCTACGCCATTAAGTATCCTCTGTCACAAATGAAAAACCTGTCAGTAATTTGTCCCAGGCTATGTGGTTTGCAAGTGATAGAATTGGAGTAAAAACACAACAGATCTCATTCTAAATTCTCATCCTAATCATAGCTACTAGAAAATAAATGAAATAGTTAGAACATTTGCCTGGAAGAGTGCATGGACATTAAAAGAATGGGGAGGGGGAAAATGTACAATTGGGAACTCTCCAGAGTGCTGAAAAGCAACAATGTCACTCTACAGACTAAGGTGTGCCTGATCTAGGCAAGCGTCTTAGCAATTACTTGTTATGCTTCAGAGAGTTGGACAATGACTGAGGATGACAAAAGAAGGACTAATGCCTTTGAATTATGGTGCTGGAGAAGAGTCTTGAACACACCACGGAGTGCCAAGAAAACAAATAGGTCTTTCCTCGGAAGCTAGGATTTTGAAGCTCCGTCTTACATACTTTGGGCACATGACCAGGAGAAACCAGTCCTTGGAGAAGGACATCATGCTTGCAAGGGTAGAGGGACAATGCAAGAGAGGAAGACTCAGAATGAGATGGATTGATATAGTGACTTGGGTAATGGGGCTGGTGTGTTGGAATTAGTAAGACTGGCTCAGGACAGAGCAGGGTTCAGGGCTGCTATACATAGGGTCACTATGGGTCACATGCGGCTGACAGCACACAACAATAACTATTGGGAACTAATCAACTATAAGTTAACAGAACTTAAAATTGAAAGGATACACTCAAGAAGAGATACTAGATAGTACTGTAATTTGAGCATCTTCCTTAAATAAGTCTGTGGCTCAATCATGACAAGAAAGGAAGAAATGAATGTGATGTTGGAGGACTTTCATATAAAACGTGTTTTATATTGTTCTACTTATCCCTAAAACAAATATCACTAATACCAAGAAATCAAAACTGCATAAAGCCCAAAGTGATTCAGTCCAAGAAATTTTCAACAGTTCTGGCCAAGCGTGAAATATTTTCTCTCAACAATCTCTCTTTCCTGCTCAGAAAATATTCAATGAAAACTCAGATAATAATATAACAGAAACGTGTAAGAGGATTCAAAGCTACTGGATATTTAGACAAGATTAATTTATTATAAGGATGCTTTATGGTTAGAATTGTTACATACCATTGATTTGGAACTGACCCAAATCTGATATTCCAGTGAGTTTTCAGACGCAGTAAATCCATGAGATTGGAAGCAGGAGTGGCATCCACTTCCTAAATAACATGCCTCCGGAAACCCTATGAACTTTGATAAATGTCCATAGTTTAGAGGGGCTTCAAGCCTTTTGTTCATAGGGTTGCTATGAATCATGCTCGACTCGAATCAACAACAACTATAAATCCCATGAGAAGAGATGTCCATCTTCCTACTCCAGCAGCATCTGGTGGATTCCAACCACTTACCTTTGGGCTGGTAGCATAATTCCTTATCACTAAGTCACCAGAGGTCCCCAAGGATGTTTTACAGATCTGTTTTAAGTTCAAGTAAGTAAAAGGACTTACAGCTTAACAGCGCCACACCCAGCAGTATGGCCAGGATTGCCCATTTTCCAAGATGGATTCCTCCACTCCTTAAAGCTGCTTTACACTGACTGGGATGAACACAGTCACACAGGTTAACTCTCAAAACTTTGGTCGCAGATTGACCTTCTCTGTCTTTTATGGTAACAGGAATATTATATTCTTGAAAGTAAGCAGTATTCTGATAGGAAAGACGGGCTGTTGTATCTGAAAGAAAAATAACAAAAGAAATAGTTTAACTTATTAAAGCAACTTAGTCCCTTATCATTTGTTTCCCCACACTTTTAAATCATATTTCTTTTTCACTGTGACTTAAAATGAAAGTTTACAGAGCAAATATATTGTCATTCAACAATTCATATGCATTGTTTTCTAACAATTACAATACCCACAGTGTAATTGTACTTTTCTACCTTTTGTCTTATTATTCTCAATTATATTAATAGAAATTAATCCTCCTATCACACCCTTTACTGTATAGATCATGCAATGTCAGTTATTCTAAAGAATCAACACAATACACAGTAAGAAATTGGTAGCCATAAATGCCATTCCAGTCAGTAAAGCACAAATAAACGTCTTTCTGGTATTCTTTGCTTTCACCCAAGATCCATCTAATATCAGCAGTATAGGGTAACACTGTGTAATGAGGGTACATTCCACATCCCCTTCTGAACCCAGCTTGAATTAGAGCAGGTCCTAGTCAGTGTGTTGTTGCAACTGTTTTGTTTTGCTTTAACCTCTTCACCTAAATTTTAGTTTAGTGTGAGATTAATGATATTGTTCTATAATGTGAAGAGAAAAAGAGTCAATGTTTTTCCGGTTATTCCCTTGCTTTTAAAATAGAATTCTCAAGGCACTCCCATAATATGGAAATAAATATAAATGGAGAACTGTTTTCAATCTTTTCAATCACTAATATTACCTCCTACGTGTTATATTTATTACAAACTGTCAGAAAACAAGGCTTCAAGAACTAATATGGCACCGGACTGACCCAGAAGCATTTCCACAGTATTTGCTTTTCCCACAGCTAAACAAACTGATGATGCTAGTCTGGCTCTCAGCATATACTACAAGCACTTTGCTGTAGTTTATAATACTCAGAAAAAATGAACACCCACAGGTACACACAATGAGTGTCTTAAGTTCACATTCTCACCACTGTCTGGTTTCTGCCCTTAAGGATGATGTCATTTTCAAAGCACAATAGACCTTTCATGAAACATGCCTTACCTCTGGAAGTAACTGAAAAATTAAAAAGCTAATTAATACCACCTAACATGGTTATATGGTTATAGAACAACAGAAATGTCTATATCATAATAATACATTTCCATCAACTGTGCTTTTCCCCCCTAAAAGCCTTATCTTATTGTCTCGATTATCAATTGACAAAAATTTTCACAGACTTTCAATGGCAAATACATTTATATTCAGGTCTGCTAAGGATTAAGTGAAATGAAAAAGAAGCATAATGCCCATTGTGGAAGTCATCTGTAATTTCTAAAGAGCTTTGCTTAAATGCATTCATAGTGATATCTAATAATCAAAGCCACAACCACTTCACACAGATGCTGTACCTAATACTTGAAACCAGAGAACCCACCAAAGGAAAGTGAATTATAACTGAAGTTTATGTAGCATCTTTCAGGATTATATCATGCCTGGAATAACCAGTATCATTTATTGGCAAGTTGATTACAACTCTCACCAACCCCACTTGTCAAGACAGAATTGTGCTCTGCAGGGCGTTTAATGGTTGGGTTTTTAGAAGTATAAAGTCAGGACTTTCTTTTGAGGCAACAATGAGTGAACTCAAACTGCCATCATTTTATTAAACCATTTGCACTAAGAGCCTCCAAATCCTCTTTTAGTCACAAGACTATAAGCTGAGCACAGGCATAATCATGTCTCATTCTCACAGAGATAGAAAGAAGTCAAGATGTCATCTTGATACTCAACTCTGTCCCTTAATTGCCCCGACATATTTTAAAGACCTTAATCTGGTTATGTCACTGTCTTATTAGCACACTCTCACTGTCTATCTGCTGTCACTCCAGGTAACAGATCATTCCCAGTCTAGCACACCAAGACTTTCCATGACCAGACTGCATCTTTTTTCATAGTCAAACTCCTGACAACCTTACTAAAGCCTTGCAAGCACCAATTACAATTTACTGTTTTCTAATTTTTTTTCCATTTTAAACATTTGAGCCAATAATACCAAATTAAATAATTATTTATTAAGCAGTGATTATCTTAAAGAACTGAGTTAGAATATACTACTGAATATAATAAGATGAATGGCAAGTACTCTGGAAAATTCTGAGAGAGGAATTTAAACAAATGACAATACCATATTAGTGGAGACATAATGAAAGTATGAGAAGTCACTTTGTTCTTTCTACTACAAGAAATAATTCATATGGGACGATCATCTAAGCTGGAGCTGAGTTTATCTTGACCATGAGCACAAACGCACACACCCTGAGGAGTCACTAGGTAAACAGTTAATGCATGTAACTACTAACTGAAAGCTGGAAATCTAAGTACACACAGAGGTGCCTCAAAGAGGGCTGGGACTTCCTTTATGAAAAATCAGCCATTAGAAATTCTGTGGGGTGCAGGTCCCTGCTAATATACTTGGCTGGCCATGAGTTGAAATTGAGTTAATAACACCACTCAATAGTTTATATATGTATATATATATAAAATATTAGATATTAGATATCCTATTATATATAATACCTAGTATAATTATAAAATATATAGTATAATATAGCATAGCATAACATAACATATAATAAAATAGAATAGAATAGGATTAATATAATAATATATAGAATAGATATGTAATATTAGATATATATGGTTGCAGTAAATATAAATTTGTCTTCATAAAAAAAAATCAGGATTTCTCTCCTTTAATAGAAATAAATAGCTGCCATCCTGTCAATTCTGCCTTTCAGTAATTCCACAAGTGTCAGAGGGGCACTGTGTTCCCACAGGGTTTTCAATAGCTGACTTTAGATCACCAGAGCTTTGTTTCCGGGTGGAGTCAAACCCTCCACCTGTAAGTCTGCAGTGACATGATTAAGCATTTGTGCCACTGAGGGTTCCTTTGTAGAACCTATATAATTTAGCACAGCCTGTCATCATATCTGTAAAAGGTTAAGAAAAACTACTAAAATATGTTAATGGAATCAATTTGACTGTATCCTTTCTGTCAATAAACAGAAATTAATTAATAAATGAAAAATGAATTCATTCCATGGGGGTAGGTGTGTTAGAGACAATAAGATTGGCAAAGGATAGAGGGAGTTTAGGGCTCTCATACGTAGGGTCACTATGAGTTGCAAGTGATTTGATGGCACGTAACAAAAATGACAAAAATCATTACTGTCTATTTTAGAGTACACAAATATTATGTTTTATGAAATACCATTGACTTGGGTCAGAGTCCATATTCTATTTATTTCTGGAGGGGCATTGGCCAAGGAGAAAGAAAACGGAGGTCCATTGTCAGCTCCATCGGGATCAACAGCTGAAATGTCAGCGTAGCCCATCCTTGGTTTGCAAATTGTTAGATAATTATGAACCATCTCTGGCGCGTTGTCATTCACGTCTTCAATGTTGACTACAAGGGTCCCAGTGCATGATCTACCCTCTAGAGGGGGGGGGGAAAGAAAATTGTCTAATGTCATTGTTAAATGCATTTATTGTCCTTAAGATAAACTCAGTTACATTCTACAATGATATGTAGTATTTTAAAAAAGAAAATTATTCAAAGTAATAGCAAACACGAATATAGATGCATAAGCCTACAGAAAATACTAGAAACAAATGGCACTGAGTCTTTCACCAAAATTATTATCAAATAATTAGGAATATAGCCGACTTTAAAACTCTACTTACTTAGATTCCTTATGGCATATTAAAGAACAGTAAAGTAGATTTAGAAAGATAACTACTACCCAGGCTACACATTTAACACCTGTTGTTCTCAGGTGCCTTTAAGAAGATTCCAATTAAGAATAAGCTATTGCACAACAGAAACAATTGCACCACACTACATCATCTCATTTCATCAACAGGCATTGGCAAAATAAGGATGTGCCTGATCCAGTCTACGGTCTTCACAATTACGTGCTATTTATCAGAGCTGGATGATGACTAAGGATGATAGATGAAAAATCAATGCCTTTGACTTGTGTTGCTGGAAAAGAGTATTGAACATACCATGGACTGTCAAGAGAACAAACATTTCTGTCCTGGAGAGGGTGGTGAAAACAAGCTGTTCCTTGGAGGCAAGGATTTTGAAACTGTCTCACACACTTTGAGTATGTGAGAAACCAGTCCTTGGAGAAGGGTATCATGCTTGGAAGGGTGGAGGGACAACACAGGAGAGGAAGACCCTGGATGAGATGGACTGACATAGTGACTAAGATAATGGGGGTGAGGGTGTCAGAGACAGTGAGACTAACTCAGGATAGGGCAGGGGTCAAGAGGCTATTGTACAAAGGGTCGCCATGAGTTGCTGTCAACTCAATGGCACATACCAACAACAACAACATATAATTTTCATAACTGTTGCTATGTTGAACTCATTATTTCATCCACTGTGCCAGCCTATATCATCGAGAGTTTTACTGACTTGTTGCCTTATCATGTATGGTGTTCTGTTCTTGTTGTTACTGTTAGTTGCCATCAATTGACTATGACTCAACAACACCATGAATAACATGTCTGAGTCTTGCCCTATCCTTCACCATCCTCATGATTTGATATACTCAAGTTCATTGTCATAGTCACTTTATCTGTTTTGTTGAGGGTCTTCTTCTTTTTCACTGACCCTCCACCTTTCCCAAGCATGATATCTTTGACCAAGGATTGGCTCTTTCTGGTATGTCCAAAATATGTGAGATGAAGTTCACCATCCTTGCCTGTAAGGACTATGCTGATTCTACTTTCTCTAAGATGGATTTGTTGATATTGGAGCAATTGATGATCCCTGATGATACAGCCGAAGTAGGTGAGATGAAGTCAGACATACTTTTTTGCTTCTAAGGAGCATTCTGACTATACTTCTTTCATAATAGTGTTTAATTTTTTCTTGCAGCCAAGGGCATATTCACATGTATCCATATATTAATTCAATTTTTCTTCAGTCTTCCATATTCATCGTCCAGCTTTCACAATGCTCATGAAGCAATTGAAAATACCATGAGTCAAGGTGCATCTTAGTTCCTTATGTGGTATCTTGGCTCTTAACATTTTGAAAAGGTTGCTTTCAGTTTGTTTACTCAAGGTAGTATGTCCTTTTATTTCCTGATTTCTGTGTCTTGTAATGTTGATTGTAGTCAACATAAATTTTTGACACCTTTACTATTTTCTCCACATATCATAGTGTTCACAATTGATGCCTTTGAACTGTGGTGCTGGAGAAGAGTATTGAGGGTACAATGAACTGCTAGGAAAACAAACAGATTCATCCTGGAAAGGGTCAAACTGGGCTGCTCCTTGGAGGCAAGGATCTAAGGCTCCGTCTAACATACTTTGGACATGTTGCAAGGAGGGACAGATCCTTGGAGAGGGACATTATGCTTGGTAGGGTGGAGGGACAGCGCAGAAGAGGAAGGCCCCCTAGGAGGTGGATTGATTCAGTGACTGGGGTAATCGGGATGGGTGTGTCAGACACAGGACAGAGCAGAGTTTAGGGATGTTGTACATAGGATTGCTATGAGTCACAAGTGACTCGATGGCACATAAGAACAACAACAATCATAATGTTACTCATTAGTCTGGCTTTTAGGATTCCTATTTTCTATATGTTGAAATATAATCCAGATCGAAGACCATTGCCTTTGATCCATAACATAAAAGCTTCAAATCTTCCTCATTTTCAACAGCATGATTCTTTCATCTGCATATTATAGGCTGTTATTCAGTCTTCCTGATGTTACTGTTTTTTGGGGTGTTGTGTTTTTTTTTTTCAAACAGTTCAGATCCTCTGCTCTGCATAAACTGGGATATGTACATACAATGAAAGGATGCAAATCTCAAGCACATCTTTTCTGATTTTAAATCACACACCATGCCCTTGTTCTATTCAAACAACTGCCTTTTGGTCTATGTATAGGTTGGTTCTTTATGAATATAATTAAGTGATTTGAGGCCCCATTCTTTGCAATATGATCCATAATTTGCTATTATTTTCACAGCTAAATACCATTGCATAACCTGGGGAAGGGGAACATAACTCCACAGTTAAACATCTTTCTGGTATTTTCCACTTAGAGCTAAGATCTAACATTAGCAATAATATCATTTCACATCTTCTTCTGAGTCCAGCTTGAATTTCTGGCAATTCACTAGTAATGTACGCTAGAACTGTTTTTAAATTATCTTTGACAAAAGCTTACTTTCATGTCATATTAATAGTCAATAGCTTTTGTGTTTCAGTGGATCACTTTTCTTTGGAAAGGCCATAAATATAAATCTCTTCTAGTCAATCAGTCAGGTAGCTGTCTTCTAAATTTCTTGACGTAGAAGAGTGATCACATCCAGGACTGTCTCTGTTTGTCAAGACACCCAGTAGTTATTCCATCACTTCCTGGAGCGTTGCTCTTCAGTAATGTTTGGCGAAGCGTGAATTTCTTCCTTCAGTACCACTCAGTTTTGATTATATTCTATTTCCTGAGATGGCTGATCATTGATCACTTTTCTTATTGGTACAGAAGTTGAGTATCCTTTCCATCTTCTTTTGATGCTTTCTGTATCACCCCATTTTGACCAGAGAATCCTTCAACATTGTAACTAGAAACTTGAATTTGTTTGGGGTTTTTAGCTTGAGAAACACCATGTGTGCTCTTCACTTTTTATTTTCTAACTTGAGGTCTTTGCGTGTTTCGATTTAACACTTTCCTCTGTCTTCTCAAGGCATCTTTAAAATCTTCTGTTCAGCTCTTTAATATCAACATTCCCCCCCCCTTTCACTTTAGCTATTCTATGTTCAAAAACTAGTTTCAGTCTCATTTATTTTTGTCTCAAACCTTCTAGGAATATTTTTTAGTAATAAATAATGTACAGACTCATTCTCAAAGATTATAATTCAATTAGTCCAGACTGTATAGACATTAATATTTTTTAAAAGCACCTCAACTTATCCAAAGATGAAACGGGGGTTGAGAAAATATGATTTATTTTCAAAAAAAGAATTGAAAGAATGGATAATATAGCCACTGCAAAAGAACAAGAGTGAAAAATGGGAAACACAGATTTAAGTTTTCGAAGAAAGCTTTCAAAGAAAATAAAAAAGATATACATTGTGTACTGGTCATGCCTATGGAAGCAACCACGTAAGCACTCTCAAAGAACTTAAATCCTCTTCCCTGAATTGAGGGTCATCTGCATCTTCAGTTACTAGGTTTACTATTATTTTCTTCCCAGTGGCTTGTGCTGCTGTTTGTATTATAAAGGAGAATGTAGAGTAACTAATAAACTTTAATTAAGAGTGGTTTATTCATCTCTGCCAGGGAACTGAAGGAGCCATGTCTTGCTTTCTCTCCATTAAAAAAGCAATGCAGTTAAGAAAATACCAAATATTCTGCCTACTGGGCTATTCTTCCTTCAGTAATAAAACATGCATCTTGAAACGTGCAACTTGAAATTAGACAAACATCCTAGATGATTTTTTATATTAAACATCTATTTTCCTTAATCTAAAAGGTACTAACATTCTCAGTTTCATTTGATCAGGGTGAAGAATGCAAATATTGCTAAAGATGAGAAAATATTAAATTCTACCACCATACAAATCCAAAATGCTTAACAAATGTTAAACGGAAGTAGTCTTCAGAAAGAAAATCAGTTTTATTACAGATGAAGCGAAATGTTAGAAGAAATTACAAGAGAATCACTCACAGAAATACTTTTTGAAAAGTATTGAAAGGGTAAGGTGAATTTATAATCACCCCCCACTCAATGGTATATAATATCAACAATATACTAGAACCATGTTTTTGAGAGGATAATACAGTTGTTGAAAATAATTCTGGATTCAATCATAAATTTCTTATTCCTTATTTTTCTTTATCTCATTTTCTTACAATGAGCCAAATTCACAAGGCTGAGTCAAATTCAATAAGTGTATATAAAGAAAATATTATATAAATATAAGATATTGTTATTGGCCAACAATTCTGTTTCACAAAGACTAAGATTTAAATTATAACTGTTGGGGTTTTTTTAGAAAAAATTATTATCAATGAAGAGTAAAAAACTTAGATTAGAGTTAGGGTTACGAGGTTAAGATTTACTAGTAATTATGCATTACTGAGTCCACCCCATTCAGTAGATCTGACTCCATAAGATTTTCAAGGTTGTAAATATTTACATCTTTCTCCCTCACTGCACCTTGCTGGATTAGAACTGATGCCCTTCCAGTTAGCAGTAAAGTATATAACACACTCCAATACCAGAGTTCCTTCTGCATTACCAAGAAGTATTAATAATTCAATCTTATTTTGAAATTCCTAAAAGAAACATCTCAACTTCTTTTATCCTTCAAGGCATTCAGACTCAGTTATAACAATGACAATTTTCCATTGATTCTCCAAGTGCTTTATAAGATATTAGGTACAAAGTTGATTACCTTGGTCTGTTGCCATGACTGTAATGTTATATAAATCATTTTGAGGAGCCATTGTCTCCCTGTCCAGGATTTTGGAAGTCATAATTGACCCTGAAATTTCATCAATATTGATCCATCCTTTAGGATCATGCAATTTTTTATATCTGTTAATAAAAAAGGGAAATATATTTTAAAAATTGCAATGATCTCAACTGTGCAATTTATTACATATGCATTAGTGTGCAGTAATAGATTTATTTGTACCTTAAACCATTGCTGCTTCTTGTTTCTGGGTCATATGCCTTATAGCCATTGATCTTTGATCCAACCGCCGAGTTTTCTTTAATCCGTACGTACTGAGCTGGAGGGTTACATTCAGGGCCCTCATCCTCATCCTTCACATTGACTGTAACCACAGCTCTGCTCATGGATGTTAATCTATTCTGAAACTCTCTAGTTAGTGGAACTTCATTGCTTACTCCGATTTCCAGGATCACTTGTCGGTTTTCTTCATAATTCAGGGGCTTTAAAATAAAATACATGTCTATCGGCATCAGGGTACAATATATTTGCTATTTTAAATGAGAGTTGAAATTTTATCACTGAGAAAAGTTCTATTCAAGTTCCATATTCATAATTCACCCATTAAAAAAAACCCCAAACCCATTCTGGCAGACTTAATGCCAATTCAACAATCCTACAGAACAGAGAAGAATTTTCCCAGAAGGATTCCAAAGTCGTAAGCTTTATGAAGGCACACTATCTCATCTTTCTCCCATGGAATGGCTAGTGGATTTGAACTGCCAAATTTTCGGTTAAGCAGCCAAACATTTAACTACATTTAACTACCAGGATTTTTCTAGTTTGTCAATATATCATTCTAGTGGACTAGTGATAAGGAGCTGCACTGTCAATCTAAAAGTAAGTGGTTAGAATTCACCAGTTGTTCCACAGGAGAAAGACGGGCAATCAATACCAGTGCAATTTATTGTCTCTGAAAACCTACTACAGGGCCACCTATGGGTCAGCTCTGACTGACTCCACAGTACTCAGCAACAACCACTTCTTGATAATTTAGGAATTATGGTAATTATGGTAGCCTACGTGGAAGGAGGAGTGACATCCACTTCCATAATAGCTTGCATCCGGAAACCCTATGAACCTGGAGAGAGGGTGAAAGGCACCCAAGCATTGAGGACTCTCCTTCATAGGGTCACTATGAGTCACCTGCGACTCGACGGCACTTAACAACAAACATGATAGCCTAGTGGTAAGAAGTTGCACTGCAATGTCCAAGGCATACAGTTCAAATCCAACAGCTATCTGCTCCACAAGAGAAAGATGGGCAATCTCCTGCCTTGCAATGTACCGCCTCAGAAAACCAGTGGGAGGGCCAGCTACGTTTTGATTCTAGCTCAATGGCACACAACAAGAAGTCCTTGATGAGGAGAAAAGTGATTCTCTGTAAACCTTCCAGAAAAGTGATTCAACAGTTCCTGAGGTGGTGGCAAAGTTGTGGAGAAGAAATTTGTTACATTTTTATAGTTGACGCTTGAGTCCAAAAAATAATCAAGCTATTTCTGTGAAGTCAGAACCAACTCGTAGCTGACCTTCCAGTGGGCTTTCTGAGGCTGTAAAGCCCAAGGGGGGAGATTGCCTTTCCCCTGTGAAGCTGTTGACGGATGAAGATACAGTAATGATAATAAAGTTTGTTTTCACAGGTTTTGAGTTAACAGTGCCTTAAATGAAAGGGACATAAGTAAAGGACTAGACTTCTGACCAAAGAGCATCGATCTTTTAGCCAGCCAAGGACTCAAGTCATTATCTTCTATTTATGTCCAAAAAGAAGAGATGTTAGGTGTAAGAAGATCAGGCAGGTACAGATCAGTAAGAGGGAAAACAATTGGTACCATTTTTTTATTTCCTCTATTATAATTTTCTATCATTATTTTCTTTTCTCAATTATAATGATTCCTTTCTTTTTGATGGTTTGCATTTAGCACTCAATTTAAGTAGATCATATCATAGAAAACTTTAGTAGGAGGCACTTTCTTATAAAAATTCATCTGAAATTAATATATTTGAGGAATCAAATATATTGACAGACAGACCTTACTCGGCAAGTCTCAAGTTACAACTCTGTATATTTTTATTTTATTTTATTTCATTTTTTTACAGAAGAGCTTGAACACAGTCCCCTGTATATTCTTAATGAGGAAATAACTCCAAATAAAGAATTCTATGCACTAAAAAGGGAGTTCTGGTCACTTAGTGGGGAAGAAGTTGGGATGTCAATGGCTTGTCTTATGCATCTGTTCTGCAGAAGTAAGATGGGCAATCTCTTCCCTTGTGATTTATAACTTAGAAAGCCTGATTGAGTGTCAGCCCTAAGTCAGTTCCAACTCGAAAGCAATGAGTGAGTGAATGAGTGATGCACTGGAGAGTCCTCTTATCTAAGAGAAGATAAGTCTAACCAGCAGATAACTTTGACTCAATGAGGGAGCTCTACACCTGTCCACATGGCTATAAATTCTTTGCTGTTCTCAAGTAAGGACATAACATATAGGGTTCTTCTTTCCTTCATAAAGTGTGCCCCAGAATAAAGCACGTAGTTCAATAAAAACTACAATAAACAGAAGATCCAATGCTGCCTTTTGCAATACTACTTTTTTTCACCTTCAATGTCACTATTAGAAGTATCTGAGATAGCTAGGCTTATATTCCTTAAAGGTAACAAGAAGAATATAAGGTTTTAAATCATATCATGTAAGGAATACTTAACTGAATAGGAAATATTTATCCTAAATAAGGTAAATTTCAACTATACAGAAACTCCGCAAAGAATCATAACTTACGTAGCATTAAAAGTAGATACAGGTCCAAAGAGATAGTTTACAAGGAGAAAAGCAGGTACATTAAAAGAAGGAACCTCAGAGTCGAAGCTTCCCAAATATTGAATAAATAGTGTAGCTAGAGAGATTTTAATCATTGAAAATGTTAAAAAATAAGCAAGGTAAGTAACATATTAGAGGCTTAAGTGCAAGATTAGAGAAAAACAGAAGAAACTGACTTTAAATTATTTCCCAAGTTACAGTGTCTGAGACGTGAAACTACTTAGTTGGTTACACTCTTAGTGGATTCAAACGTGTTAGTGTGGTAAGTTTTCAATCATTTAGTTCTACCATACCTTTATAACACAGAGTACACCTTCATTAGTTTCTTTGTCGGTACTAATTTTGAAATGTCCTTTTTCATTGCCCTTTAAAATGGTGAAATTGGCTCTCCAGTTCTCGGTGTTTATTAAATCCTTATCGTCTATAGGTAATCGTAAGATTTCCACATTGTATTTATTTTCGTCCACTGATGCTTCATACTGAAACAAATAATTCATTAAAAGCTCTTACTTTCTTAAAAGAACTTTTACAAAGAAGCGAAAACCTATTTGTTCTTATTGATTTTTCACAGACGATTTTTAAAACTTCTAAATCACAAATACTATTGCTTTATGAGAGTTATTTTTTTTAAAATTAAACAGCTTCATTTTTGTATGAAGACTAATATCCCTGTTCTTTACTGAGGAAAAGAAAATTCTACTATGGATAAAAGAGATTTGTATGTCAGCTATTTAAACTTTTTTTTTTCAGAAATATATACAATTCCTGGGGTGATACATATTAAACTAGATTAAAGAACAAATGACAATCATAAAATAGGCTGTTATCAATGGTACTCACTGCATTTTGTCTGAAAATTGGTGCATTGTCGTTTGAATCATTCACTGTTATCAGACAAGTTGACGTAGTTGCCAATCCAAAAAACTGCCCATTCATGTCTTGGACCTTCATTATCAATTTATACTGGTCCATCATCTGAAAGCAAATATTTCATTAATCATCAAAACTTTTGTTTCTGTTTTGCCAAGATTTATTAAGGAAACCTCTTAGTTGGAATGGAGCTCTGGTAGCCTAGTGGTAAGAAGCTGTGCTGCAATCCCATAGGTACATGGTTTGAATCCACCAGCTGCTCTTTGGGAGAAAGATGGGCAAACTCCTCCTATGTAATTAACTGCCTTTGAAAACCTGCTGGAGAGTCAGTCATGGGTCAGTTCTGTCTCTATGGTACACAATAACAACAACAACCAGTTGTACACTCTTCTTTTTATGTGTAGGGTATGGTTTCCAAATCTGTAGATACTCTAAGAAACTGTCATAATAGGAATGGAGCTGAAAAAGAGTGGGGAGATTAAAATAGAAAAAAACATCTTTAGAAACTCAGTGCTATAAGTGACAGGTAAAGGGCTTCAGGGAGTTGTTGTTGGTGCTGATTTCCTTCAAGTCGAGCTTGACTCATAGCAACCCTATGAACAAAAGGCCTGAAGCTCCTCAACAACTATCGACATTTATCAAAGTTCATAGAGTTTCCAGAGGCGTGTTTTTTAGGAAATGGATGCCACTCCTATAAAGGACCACAAAAGAAGAGCACTAAAATTTTTGAAAGATTGGGTACAATTTTGGAGTGAGTTGAGCTGAATTCATAGGTTCAATTAAATGGCTCCTAGACAATTAGGGTCTGGTGGCAAAGTCCATCGGCATCTGTGCTGCTTACTCACAGATGATACCTCTTTGGTGGTTCAAATCCACCAGCAGCTCCACAGGACAGCTATGAGTCTTTTTGACTCTTTTAGCGATATGATTTAGGTGGGAGTTTTTGAGACAACTAAAATACAACAGTCTTGATTTTTCTTTTCTTTCTTTTTTAAATAATATAAGCCACAGAGACCATCTCTAAAGTAGTATAAGGTAAAGAGAGTAAAGAGCTGATGGATACTTCACCAGGGTGTTCAAAAAAATAGGATTTAATAGTGACATGAGACAAAGAATGGGTTGAGGAAAAAGTTGAGGAGTACAACTTAGATAAGCAGAGTTATCACCAGTACAGGAAACAGCAGGAGAGACACGTCCTCTGAGGGGTGACAAAAATAACGAGTAGCTATGCACATGCACATTTGTATAGATTAATGACAAATGGTGGCACAGTCACCATTTATGTACAGAGACAGACCCTTAATCCAAAGGGCATGCCTCTCTGGTGGTTTGACTCTACCAGCAGCTCTGTCTCTGTGAGAGAAACGTAGGCAATCTCCACTCATGAAACATAACAACCTCAGAAACCCAGTGGAGGCCCAGCCCCAAGCTGATTCCAAAAGAACAGCATGAAAGGGTGGGGTGGGGTGGGAGAGAGAGAGAGTAAATCGAAGGGGAGACATTTCAGAGGCAGTTCATCGCGAAGGAGATTATCCATCCTTCTTCAACAGAACAGCTGGATTCTAACCATGTACCTTCGGGATTAAAGCACAGGTTCTTATCACTAGGCCACCAGAGCTCCCCAGAAATACTACTATAACTTTTTCATTCTTGGTAAACATTATCCTATGAAAGAATTCTTTTCTCACTTAAAAACAAAAAAACACCAAAACCCCAACTGCTTTTCTAAAATCGATATACAAGGACAAGACCCATGCCCTCAGAACAAGTTAAATAAGTTGAACCAGAGAATTGAAAAGGTACCAAACCAGAAACAACTAGCTATGGACAAGATAGAAAATAATATTCACTAATATTAATTCTCATATGAAAAATATAATTTGCTCTCTCTCCTCTTCTAAACACCAGTTGATCCTTAATTATTCTTAGTCTGCTCCTTACTGATTCTTCTGAGATAAATTAATACCAAGAGAAATTATGAAAAAAAATGGGCAAGATGTCAGGACTTTTTATTGTTATATGCCTAAACGAAAATGGTGTTATATGTCTTTGTTATTATGTACTGCTGAGTCAGGACTGACTCATAGCTGATCATCCAGTGAGTTTTCAGAGGCTTATTTATCTTTCTCTCATGGAGCAGCTAGTGGATTTGAACCACACACCTTTGGGTTGGCAGTGACACTCCTTACCAATAAGCCATCAAGCTCAATAAAATACAATTAGAAGCTCTGATTCCACAAGATAGCAAATGTGTACACTTGTAGAGGTTTGGGGTTTTTTTTAAGATTCCAACACAACGATATAAAGATTAATAAAAAAAAATTCTATTCCAAGCAGTGTTTGCGTTACCTCTCTGTCCAGAGAGGGAGAGGCCAGGGTAATGACACCTGTTTGGGGATTCACAGAGAAGAACCCAGGTGACCGTGGCATCTGCTCCACAATGCTATACTTCAGCAGCGTGTGCATCGTATCAGGCTCGTCTCTGTCCGTGGCACAAACCACTCCTACTGTCGTACCTGTGTGTCAGAAGAACAGTTCTAAGTTTCCAGAATTTCATTATATATTTAGATATTTCCACTGTATCTACACATTTAAGGTTAATGAAAATGGTAGGAATCTCATTTCAATTGCATTTCTAACCAGAGGTAATAATATATACTTACCAAGTGACCCTCCGGTGGCATAGCTATAGGGATTTAAGCTGTTAACTCAAAGGCAGGGCCTCTCTAAAGCTTTAAATCCACAGAGGATCCTCCAGAAAGTGATGGACAGTCTCCTGCCAAGGAATTTACATCCTCAGAGAATCAAATGGGGGCCAGGGGTTGACTATATTTATATAGCAATACTTACATATAAATATTTGTATATTTCTATTGTTAGGTGGGATCAGGTCAGAACAGACCCTCTAGCAGGTTTTCAGAAGCTTTAATTGCACAAGAGGAGACTGCCACACCCATGTACAGCTTGTAACACCATTGCAATTTTTGTCTTATTCATCTAATGCTGGTATAACAAAGATTGGAAGAAGAGATGACTTTTAATAAACAATTCTCTAAAAAAAAAGCCAATAACAAAAGGAGACTGCCTATCTTTCTCCCATGGAGCAGCTGATGGATTCGAACTACCAGCCCTTGGGTTAGCGCAGCTTCTTATCCACTCTGCTGCTGTTATGTGCAAACAGAACACACTCATAGCTGACCACCCACTGAGTACAGTATTTATATGGTAATAATAAAGATTACATCAAATTTATACTACAAAATATGACACTCAGAATCAAGGCATACTTTGGGTTTGCTCACATTTTGAAATGTTTGATAGTAAATCCCTAAACTGTCCATTAAATGCAATCAAGAATTACTCCAAAACATTTTCCAGTGATTGTGATAACATACCTACCTAGGGGATTATGTGTCTTTAAATGGATTTTTAACTCCTAATGATGCCATGTAATGGAGTATAGAGGCCCCGTAGAATTTTTTTAGGCTGTTATTACTACGGAAGCAGATCATCAGATTTTTGTTTCTATGTGGGATTTTCCCCCCAAGTATATCAGAGATTTCTTAATTGGATTTTAGCTAGCCTAAGATAAATTTAGGTGTATAATTGGCAAGTATAGTGTCTCGTGTCTCCGGTCTCCAGCTGATGTGCAGTGTTGCAATCTCTTCCTATTCTCCTGGCAGGTCTCATCCCTCTGGTCAAGTTAGTAACCAAGCCTCACTGTCCACATCCATTAAATCCAGAAAGATATTTCATCCTAGATATATCTACAACAAATACCATTCGCAGTGAATTTAAGTCTACAGTTTCTTCAGTTTGAGCTACTAATATCTGCCTCTATGTGAAGAGTAAGAATATTGCCCTACTGAGAGATTCCAGGTACTGAAACGTACTTTGAAAGATCAGATGTGTTTTTTGGATTGTAACTAACTGAACAACTGAACAACCTGTGTGTACATGTATTTTTGAATGAGAAGTTAATGCAATATTCTGTGCTTAAAAATCCAAACTTAAAGGTGATGTGTTTGTGTTTGGTTTTTTTGTGTTGTTTTTTTAGAAAACAAAAACAAAAAAAACACTCATAAAAGAAAAAAAAATCACAACCAAGAAACTCTGTAAAGCAGTTCTCTTCCAAAATAGATAGAGTCACCATGAGTTTGAACTTAGTTCTTGACACCTAACAACAACAGAGATGGTCATGAGACAAGTGAAGCAGTGAGAGTGTGAGCTGGGATTGCTCCCAGGCAAGGCAGATCTCCACAACCCCATCTAAACGACTCTCTCATCTTTTTTGCACTCTCACTATGAAAACATTCTTTCAGCTCTTCATGTCCTAACACCGATCTCTACCACATTTACCAAGCAGTAGTTTCAGAGCACTTTGTCTTTACCTTAACTAGCATCTTGTCATTTAAACTGAAACACTTCACCTCACTGTTGCCAAGTAGGAATTGACCGATAATAGATTCATCAATGTGTTTTTAGAGGTTCTGCTTGCTGAAACTGCGGAGG